TCCACTCACCTCGGCCTCCCAAAGCGCTGGGATTACAGGCTGAGTCACCGAGCCCGGCCTTCTTATCAGTTTTGAGGACTTGATAATTTAGAGAAATTAACTCTTTGTGATATGAATTGCAGTTTCCTCCAGTTTGGCACTTGTTTTAAAAATTTACTTTTGGCCAGGCTCGGTGGCTCAGCCTGTAATCCTGCGCTTTGGGAGGCCAAGATGAGTGGCTTGCCTGAGCCCGCAGGTTTGAGACCCGCCTGGGCAACTTGGCGAGACCTCATCTCTACAATAAATCAAAAACTAGCTGGGCATGGTAGTGCGCGCCTGTAGTTCCAACTACTTGGAAGGCTAAGCGGAAGGATCGCTGGAGTCCAGCAGGTCGAGGCTGCGGTGGCCGGAAGTGTGCCACTGCACTCCAGTCTGGGTGACAGGGTGAGACTTGAACTCAAAAAAAAAAAAAAAATTTACTTTTATGTATTTTAGTATAAAGAAGGCTTAAATATGGTTTTCTTTAAATTTTATGTAATTAATATCAATCTTTTATAGTGTTTAGATTTTAAGTCATAGGTCTCCAAGATTTCTGGAATTTGCCCATATTTTCTTTTAGTACTTTTGGGATTTCATTTTTACACTTAAATTTTTGATCCATTTAGGGTTTATTTTGGTGTTCAGAGTGCAATGTTATCTTTTTCCATATGGCTCCCAGCTATCTTTGCCCATTTGTTTCAGTGTTCATCTCTGAATACACTTTTATTGCATTGTGAACGTCTGGATGTATGGGGTGCAGCTCTGATCTTGTATTCTATTTCCATTAGTATTTCTATTTTATACCAGTGCCACATTATTCGTTTTATAAAATGTTTTAATAGCTTTTAGAACTGGTTTCCCCTTGTTGCTCTTCATTTCCTTGGCAATTCTTGCTTGTTTATTTTTCCATGTGAACTTTAGAATCATTTTGTCTAGTTCCAGAAAGAAAAAAAACCTGAAAAAAAATCAAGATCATGTTATACTCATGGAGTTAAAAATCTGTTGATTTCTCCAAGCCTCAGTTTCTTATTCTGTAGAAAGAACAATGCTGTCTTTGTAAGCATGCCGGGAGGATTCAAAGAGAAAGGAAAGCATGGGAAGCTCAGCACTTAATGCTCTTAGTCCACTCCCACCACCACTGATGTGAGTTGGGGTTGCTGTTCCCTTTTACTTTTCCCCACTCTTACCCCTCTCACTTTTTTTCTTTTTTTTTGTGTTGGAGTCTCACTCCAACTCAGTCGCCCAGACTGGAGTGCAGTGGCCGCTCCTGGCCACTGCAGCCTTCACCTGCTAGGCTCTGGTGAGCCTTCTGCCTCAGCCTTCCAAGTAGGTGGAACTACAAGTGCGCGCTACCACGCCCGGCTAATTTTTTGATTTATTGTAGAGATTAGGTCTCGCCAAGTTGCCCAGGCGGGTCTCGAACCCCCGGGCTCAGGCAATTCACTCACCTCAGCCTCCCAAAGCACGGGATTACAGGCTGAGCCACCGAGCCCGGCTACCCCTCTCACTTTAAAAGAGAGAGAGAGGGAGAAAAAAGAAACTATGAAAAAGACCAATAAAATGATATTAGAATTGAAGTTAAAATTAAGCTCTTATTCAGTTTGATCAAGTTAACCAGTATACTTGAGAGCAGAGAACAACTCAACTTGACGTTTGAGGCGCCTCTCCTACTTGTAGCCCTACTATCCATTCCTCTCTCGGATGCACCCTAACAGTGGCACTGCTTACATCTCCAGAGGCCCTGTGTTTCCTGGAATACCATCCCTTTGCCTGTTCAGATATGGTACAGACCCCAACATAGTAAAAAAGTAGTATATCTCCTCATAGAGCTTGTCTGTCTGTCACTTTGGGGTGAACAAACTAGAAACTCTGTAAGGAGAGAAACTGTGTTCGTCTGCACACCAAAGAATGCCCAGCGCCCACACCCAGCAAAATACCTAAGGAAGAATGGACAGTCAGATATTTGTTGAATGAATACAGAATTGACTCTGTTCTTTCTTCTGCTTTATATTATGTGTCAGGGTAACTCTTATCTCACCCAGCATACTATAAGACCTGGAATACGGGATTATGTCCTTTAAAAATAATAAGTGTAATAAATGATGTTGGTGGTAAATGTGGTGAGAGGCAGATTTATTATTATCTAATAAAAGCTTATAGCCATACAAATAATTAGCATCTATTGAACATATATTCTGCCCAGAAACTGCCCAGTGCAGGTTATCTCATAACAGTCTTCAGCAGTCTTATGAATTGAGTATTGTTACGATACATGTGGGAAAGCAGGCATGCAGGTGAGTGCCCAATCGCACTGCTGGGAAGGGGGAGTTCCAGGGATTCAGATGCAGGTTCTCTGAGTCTAGTGTTCCAACTCTTAACCTGCTACAGTGCTCCAAACATAGTTGTTTATAGATTTTTTGAACAATTTAGGCAAAGCTGTAATTACATTTCTAGGTTTTCACTTTCCTTCCCAACCATCCCATTTTAGTTAACTCTATTTTGTTCTTTTCCAGTTTATCTCAGATTTCCCCATTCTCCAGGAGGCTTTCTCTGATCACTGCCTGGTATATAGTAGGTGTTCAATGAAAAGTAATTTTTACTTTTTTTTCCAGGTACACAATAAAGGTGCTAAGAACGAGGATGTAAGACAGGAAAATAAATATCCTTACTGAGGTAAGTTTTTATGTGATTTAATTTTTTTAACAAAGAAACTTTCCTTTTTTTTCTTAAGTTCCTTTACATAGACTACTTTCTTAAGGTATACCAGGGAGATTGTTTTAGGGGTGGTTAAATTAAGAGAACTTAGGGTTCTTAAGGTGGTTGCCAAGAATGTGGGCTGTTTGAATATAAGGTCACTAGACTTTCTCCACCTCTTCGAATCTAATCTTTAAATTCCCATTATTGCATTGTTTTAAAGCATAGTATTGAAAAGGAAATCTAGCAGGGAGAAACCTATAAGCTGTTTAGTGGTTATTTACGAGGGGGGACCTCCCCCCCAAAAAACTGGAGTCTATTTATTAAAAATTTGTGTATTTATTCTTATGTGTTTAAACTTCAGTCACCTTCAAAGTTTTCTCCGTTTGATGCAGTATAACTATCAAGATGCTTTTTTCACTGCTCAAAACAGTTTTTGAACTCATCAATTTGGATGCCTTTTAGTGCTTCTGCCGTTTTTGTTTCACCTCTTCCACATCAGCAAAAATGTTTTTGTTTGAGGACCTTTTTCATCCAGGGAAACAAAAAGTTGCTCAGGGTGAGATTGGCATGGAGGTCATACTGTTTTTGGTCAAAAACTGCTGAAAACTCAGTGCAGTTGGGCAGGTGTGCTCTTAAATCACTCATCATATCCGGTCTCGGTGGCTCAGCCTGTAATCCCGTGCCTTTGGGAGGCTGAGGTGAGTGGATTGCCTGAGCCCGCGGGTTCGAGACCTGCCTGGGCAGGCGAGACCTCATCTCTACAATGAATCAAAAAATTAGCTGGGCGTGGTAGTGCGCGCCTGTAGTTACAGCTACTTGGAAGGCTGAGGCAGAAGGATTGCCGGAGCCCAGCAGGTGGAGGCTGCGGTGGCCGGGAGTGGCCACTGCACTCCAGTCTGGGCGACAGTGAGACTCCAACTCAAAAAAAAAAAATCACTCATCATCTAATGGGCAGACACATTGAAAGAATCTTCCAACAAAAAAATTCACTGAAGCCAAACACAGCGGGGGAAGCCTGTACTACAAGGGGCCCACTCTCCAAAAGATAATTCCTTTTTGGGGGGAGGATCCCCCTCGTATAGTTGCAATATTTAGTGCATTTTTTAAAATAGGGAGTTGAAAGAATATGAAGCCACTTTTGGTGAGGTAGCAACATTTCTTTTTCTTAAATTTAAAATTTGTTGTGTTTTCTTAGAACAACGAGAAAAATTTCCATCAGTGTAAAACAACTTTTTTTTTTTTGAGTTGGAGTCTCACTCTGTCACCCAGACTGGAGTGCAGTGGCACGCTCCTGGCCACCGCAGCCTCGAACTGCTGGGCTCCGGCGATCCTTCCACCTCAGCCTTCCAAGTAGCAGGAACTACAGGTGTGCACTACCACACCTGGCTAATTTTTGATTTATTGTAGAGACAAGGTCTTGCCAAGTTGCCCAGACGGGTCTCAAACCCATGAGCTCAGGCAGTCCACTTACCTCGGCCTCCCAAAGTGCTGGAATTATAGGCTGAGCCACCGAGCCTGGCCTAAAACAACTTTTTTTGTTTGTTTGTTTTGGTTTTTGAGTTGGAGTCTCATTCTCTTGCCCAGACTGGAGTGCAGTGGCACGCTTCCGGTCACTGCAGCCTCGACTTGCTAGGCTCCGGTGATCTGCCTCAGCCTTCCAAGTAGCTGGAACTACAGGTGCACGCTACCACGCCCAGCTAAGTTTTGATTTATTGTAGAGATGAGGTCTCGCCAAGTTGCCCAGGCAGGTCTCGAACCCGCAGGCTCAGGCAATTCACTTACCTCAGCCTCCCAAAGCGTGGGATTACAGGCTGAGCCACCGAGCCCAGCCCTAAAACAACTTTTAAAAATTATTTTATTTTAAAGATGTGGGGTGCACTTCAGGACTAGATAGATAAGTAGTAAACGTACAGGTGAAATTTGAGCCTTCCATTGGCCCTTACTTTGGTCCTTACTTTGCTGGTTTAGGATCAGGTACCCTTAATGATGTTATGTGCCCTCTCACCTGCAGGGTCCTGCTATTGCCAATCCCTTTCTTGTAGTATTATGATAAATGTTCAGGGGACAACTTATGAATGAGAACAGGTACTCAGTTCTTTGTTTCTGTGATAGATCACTGAGTATGATAGATTCTGAATCCATCCATGTTGCTGCAAAGTCCATGATTTCTTCTTTATGACTATGTTGTATTCCATCGTGTATATGTACCACATTTTTTTAATCCAGCTCACTTTTGATGAGCAGCATGGTTGGTTCCATGTTTTTGCTGTTGTGAGTACTGCTGCAATAAACAAGTATCTTTTTTGTAGAATGGTTTGAGTTCCTCCTGGTATATTCCCAGAAGGGAGATTGCTGAATCATATGGAAGTTCGGTTTTTAGATCTTTTAGAAATCACCACACTGTTTCCCATGGAGGATGTACTAATTTATATTCCCACCAACAGTGTAATGTAAAACAACTTAATGACAAAAGTAAACAGCCAACACCTACCAACAGGAAATGACTAGCATTAATATTTTGGGGAACATACTTTTAGACATTTATCTAAATGGGCATAGAAGTATTTATATACAAACTTTTTTTTTTGAGTTGGAGTCTCACCTTGTCGCCCAGACTGGAGTGCAGTGGCCGCTCCCAGCCACCACAGCCTCGACCTGCTGGACTCTGGCGATCCTTCCACCTCAGCCTTCCGAGTAGCTGGAATTACAGGCATATGCCACCACACCCTGCTGATTTTTTTATTTTTTGTAGAGATGAGGTCTCGCCAAGTTGCCCAGGCGGGTCTCGAACCCACAGGCTCAGGCAATCCACTCATGTCAGCCTCCCAAAGCGTGGGATTACAGACTGAGCCACCGAGCCTGGGTACAAACTTTTTTTTTTGAAAGCAGGATTTATTAAGAGGACAGAAAAGCTCCCTCAGTGAGAGGGGACCTGAAGGGGTTGCCCATAAACTTCTTAGTAAATCGGTTTACACTGTATATGGTAGTCTTTTTTAATGCAGTAGTATGTTCTGTATGTCTCTGTTCAGGAATTGGACAATGCATGCATAATCATATATGATTATTTTACTGGTGCATAATATTCCATTATTTAGCGACATTATACTTTATTTAACCACTCCTTTGATGACCTTTTATTTATTTATTTTTTACTCACCACTATACTATTGAGGATGATGACCTTTTAGATTGTTTCTAGTTTTCCTTTCTTGTAAATAATGTGTTGATCGACCCTCTGCTTTACAAACTTGTGTACTTGTTCTACTTTTGTTTTTTGTAGAGACGAGGTCTCCCTATGTTGCCTAGGCTGGTCTAAATATGTTGATCAACCCTCTGCTTTACAAACTTGTGTACTTGTTCTATTTTTGTTTTTGTAGAGACGAGGTCTCCCTATGTTGCCTAGGCTGGTCTAAAACTCCTGGGTGCAAGCAGTCCTCTTGCCTTGGCATCCCAAAGTGCTGAGATTACAGGACAGCCACTGTGCCTGGCCCTGTTTTTCTTCTTATACATGTAGCGCTGGGTCAAAGAATTATACACATTTTAAGTGTTGTTACATATGGCTAATATATCTTTCATAAAGTTTACCGATTTATACTCAAAGTCGAGAGTCCTTTTTTTCAGACCCTTGTCCATATTGAGTTTTGCCAATCTTTTTTTTTTTTTTTTGAGTTGGAGTCTCACTCTGTTGCCTAGGCTGGAGTGCAGTGGCACACTCCCGGCCACTGCAGCCTCGACCTGCTGGGCTCTAGCGATCCTTCCGCCTCAGCCTTCTAAGTAGTTGGAACTACAGGTGTGCACCACCACACCCGGCTAATTTTTTTGATTTATGTAGAGATGAGGTCTCGCCAAGTTGCCTAGGTGGATCTCGAACCTGCGGGCTCAGGCAATTCACTCACCTCAGCCTCCCAAAGCACGGGATTACAGGCTGAGCCACCGAGCCCAGCCCAGTCTTTTTTTGAGTGGAAGTCTCACTCTGTCACTCAGGCTAGAGTACAGTAGTACGCTCATGGCCACCCCAGCGTCAACCTGCTGGGCTCTAGCCATCTGTCCATCTCAGCCTTCCAAGTAGCTGAAACTGTAGGCACATGCTACCACGCCCAGATAATTTTTAAAAATATATTGTAGAGATGAGATCTCGCCAAGTTGCCTGAGCTAGTCTCGAGCCCGCGGGCTCAGGCAATCCACTCTCCTCAGCCTTCCAATGTGCTGGGATTACAGACTGAGCCACTGAGCCCAGCCTGCCAGTCTTTTTTAAATCTGTATGTAACTATTTTTTGAAGCTTATTTATTTTAAATTGACAAAATTGTATGTATGTATTATGTACAACATGATGTTTTGAAATATATGCATTGTGGAGTGGTTAAATCTAGCTAATTAAAATATGCATTATTTACATAGTTAATTTTGTGGTGAGAACATTTAGCATCCACTTTCTTAGCACTTTTGAAGAATGCAATATATCGTCATTAACTATAGTCACCATGCTATACAGTATATTTCTTGAACTTATTTCTTCTATCTTACTATAATTTTGTTATTGACCAACATCTCCACAGCCCCCCACCAACTGCCCCAGCATCTGGTAATCACGTTCTTCTCTCTACTTCTTGAGATCAACATTTTTAGATTCTACATATGAGTGAGAACATGTAGTATTTGTCTTTCGTACCTGACTTATTTCACTTCAGATGATATCCTCCAGGTTCATCCATGTTGTTGCAAATGACAGGACTTCATTCTTTTTTATTGCTGAATAATATTTCATTGTGTATGTACACCACATTTTAAAAATTCATCTGTTGATGGACACTTAGGTAGCTTCTATATCTTGGTATTGTGAATGATACTGCAGTAAACATGAAAGTACAGATATCTCTTCAGTGTACTATTTCATTTCCTTTGGTGATAAACCCAGTTGTGGGATTGCTGGATCATATGGGAGCTCCATTTTTAATTTTTTGAGGCAGCTCCATAC